GTTACCGCAGCCTCCTGGGAACCGGGATCCCAGGAGGGTATTGCAGCACCACACATCACAGCACATGGTGAGTTGGGCTGCGCGGTACGGCAAACTAGGTGTGATAAGAATGCGTTCACTGCATGGTATTGTGCAATTAACACAACACTATGGCCCTAAAAAGGAGCCCAAATTTACTTTAGGCCTGTCTAAGTAACAAAATAATAATTTAAAAAAAGATAAATATTTACATTGCAAATTAAGCATTAATCTACATTATATGTATCAGGAAATGTGATGCATCACTTTGTTTTACAGTTTTACACTGTAAGGGTTCAATCACACGGGTGGGCACATGCATGCACGTGCAGAGATGTGCAGATTTGGGTTTGAATGCAACTGCATCCTCCCGTAAGGAGGTACAGGTGGCTACACACAATTACAAGCAGCATCTGTCCCTCCTGGGAGCAGGTCTCTGCACTGGAGTGTACGCTTTATGGATGTGGACGCCCGTGAACCAATGCAGCCCACTCTGTTCTATAATCCTAAGAGAGATTTCAGTAGAAACCAATATAATAACTACGTCTTACCAAGAATAAAATCTTCACCAGGCTTCCATCAACCTCTTCCACTTTAGACTTCCACCAGGTGCCCTCCCACTCTGTTTTTATCAGCTGGCCGCTTTTCAGCAGAACCATAGGTCGGTTAGGGTACGCAGTGACATATTCTTCGATGAAGTCACGGCAGGACACGTCTTCAATATCTTCCCAGGTTTTGATCACTGTGAAGCAAAAAGACAGGAAACCGTTAACAGACCCGTGTTTGTGACCCTTTTTAGTATCCTAGTATGTGTACTGAACTGCAATTTGTCAAAGAAACCCTAGAGCAGGGCTAGGAAACCTTGTCACTCCATGCCTGTGGCTGTCAGAGTCAATGCGTAGTGGAATTTGTAGTTCCACAACAGCTGGAGAGCCGAGGGTGTCTACTTCCTGTTCTAGAGAATATCTTTCTGCTGCTGCAATGACAGTAAGCCGCAGCATATACGTTCCACTTACAGGGATCACTGGTCTGAGATTGCACATTTTCCCAAGGTACACCTAAGCTCCTTAGTGCATCTCAAATAGAGTTTGCACACATGGATTTCAGGAGCAAAACCCTCTGCTTGAAGCTGAACTGCAGACAAATAGCTAAATACATAATAAACATTTTTTACATGGATTTACATGGCAGACTGCATAGCCAGTCTAGTGACCTGACCTTTCTCTACTGGTGTTAGGTAACACAGGTAGGTCACCTCTCTGCCCCCACAAATATTACTACCAAGAACCCATTAATATAAAAAGCCCCTCTTCACTAAAAATCAAAGTTCAGGGAACGCCATAATAATAACTTGCCTGTTAAATGACTTCCCTTTCACTCTGATCCTTTCTGCATAAGCTTCCCAATAAATCATTTTCTGTATATTTGATTTTTTCCCTTGTCTATGCAATGACGTGACTGCAAAGCCCTGGCTGATCTGTGAACTGTGGAGGTCCAGCAACGGTGCTGAATTCCCTAAACCTGTTATGCCATCCTGCCAGTGTCCATAGCTTCCATGGTTGTCAGCCAGGAGAAGAGTTCTGCTCACCAGTTGCAAAAAGAGAGAGGGATGAGCCGGAGCTTTGCGGTCACATGACGTCATAGAAAGACGTCAACAAATATTCTGAAAGCGATTTATTTGAAAATGTAAAACAAAGAAATCCTTTTTTGCCTCGTGACCTTAGTGCAAGCTGGGTCTGTGATAGAACGGATTTACATTGTGCCCCGTCAGCTAAAAATAACTTAAGCTAGCTATATACTGCTGATTGAATTTTGACAGTTTCCTGCTGAACTGGCTGAAATTCAGTCCATGGGTGGCCCCACCAGGCACCATATAGATCGATAAAATCAGTTTTTTGATCTTAAGGTGTATGGCTGACTTTGGGCTCATTCATACGGTGTGCACGCCCTTGCAGAGACCGACTCCGGGGAGGGACAGGTGCTGCATGTAATTGTGAGCAGCCGTGCGTTACGGAAGTGCATGTTCAGGTCAGCATGTTGCCACATCCTCCCATAGGGAGGTACAGGTGGCTGCACACAATTACATGCAGCGCCTGTCCCTCCCAGAAGCAGGTCTCTGCATGGGCATGCACGCTGTACAGATGTGCATGCCTGTGTAAATGAGCCCTTTATGAAGTCATAAAGAAGAGGAGACAACCTGCACCATCAACAGACCACTTAGCGAGATGCCATTGAAATGTTGGTCAATCGGTTATCTGGTTACCATGCACAACTTAACCCCACAATCAAAGAAGATTGAACACTTACATGGCCTGCAAATGGGGTATAGTTCTGAGTGTGTAACATAGGAAGCATAGCCGTCATCGAAGAAGATCAGAAATCTACAAAACATGAGTCAAAATGTTATCAGGATTCATAGCACCTAACCTCCATAGCTGTAAATGAAACTCTTCTGGAAAAAGTACTAGCTGCCGAATCCATTTCACTTCTACATACATTGTTTATCATCTCAACCAAGTCCACTTTCCTCCACCCCATGCACCCCACCCCGTAAGCCCTGACTGAGGAGGTCTGTGTTTAGCCTCAAAAACATGCTGGGTTTTGTACATGGGAAATTCATGAAAGAATAAATGTTTGAAGGGAAAATACACCTTAAAAATAAAATTGAAAAGAAAAACAAATCGTATAAAATGAATATAGCATATATGATTGGAGTTGTTTACACAGTTGGTGTACAGACCAACCCCAGACATGTCACTTCCTGTTTCTGTGATTGGCTGACTGATTTTCCTAGAAGTCTGCACTAGGATACAAGTTCAATGTTAGGCATTCTTGCAAAATAAATTTTTATTTATTTTCGGTGAGACATTCCTAAAAGGTTATTACTAAAAAGGGATGTAGACACTGCATCTTTCCTCATTACAACACAGGAAGTCCACCAGCTGATTATAACTGACACAGACCCTCCTATTCAGTGATCAGTAATGGGTATGTGAGGAATGGAGGAGCATGTGACTTACTCCGTGTGACAGTATTGCGTCATACTGGAAATTCATAGCACTGTGTAAGCTACGACACTGAAGACTCAGCTTACAAAGGGCTTTCCTTTGCTTCCAGCAGGTGAATAGAATGATGGGGGAACGAAAGGAAGGTCAAATTATTAACCTGTTGCTTTATTCTGCACAAGCAGAGCAAAGGGGCACCTCAGGGCTAGTGTTGTTCTCATCAGAACTGCTTATCTACTTCTTTACAGCTACTGGTCCTGCCTTATACTAGAGGATGTCGGCGTGCAACCACTCTGGCAGGCATCTCCAACGCTCTGGGTTGTGGGTGGGCTCTCGCCATTCTCATGAACAATACAGGTCCATTAGTGCTACATTTTATGTGATGATGTTAAAATGCTTCAGTGTTTCAAAATAAGGTTCAAATCGGAATGTTGGAGTGATGAAATAAAACAAATGAGACAAGAACCTTAAACCTGAAAGTGACATTACCTCATTTTATTCTTGTTGCTGGGAGGTTCAGCTATGATGCCAGCGTAGAGCCATACCTGGTTGCCATCTTTGTATCTGGCCACCACTCTGCTCCCAACAAACAGTTTATCTAGTGGTGGGTGGTAATCATACGCTATATGGTTGCCGGACAGCAGGCTCTTCCCTTTGTTGTCAAATTTGACTTTGTATTTTTTTCCTGCTCCTACAAAACAAACAGCAAACTGCTTAAAAAATAGAAAGCATTCGTATACCTTAAAATCAATTACAAAACATAACCCTTCCCATCCATCAATCATAGATCTCAGGGAGTGGGTTATCAGCCATTGCGACTTTTCAGCTGACAGCCATATTAAGCCTATGTTTGGCCACCTCTTACTACCTCTACCTTAAAGCTGAACTCTGGGAAGAACAAAAAAACTCCCCTTGTAGTGGGGCATCCCCCATACTGCAAGGGTTAAATACTCGTTTATGTCTAAGGTACTTGGACTTACCTGATCGCCGCTCCCACAGGTTCCCTTCACTCTGCAAGACAGTAGGGCTGTAGCTATTTCCCTCCTACACTCCAGCAGTCAGAGACCTGCTGACATCATCAAGTACAATGGAGGGCCCATAGATATGCATTATACATGAGGATACCAAAGGAAAGTGCTGACGCTGGAGCGTAGGAAGGACAAAGTAAGCGCTGACTGCCAGTGAAGAGGGGATCAGCTGCTGTTCACGATACAACAGACCTAAAGGGGCAGACCCACTGCAAGGGGACTTTTGGGTTTTCCCGGAGATAGGCTTTAATTGCCCAATTAAATTTAAAAGAAAACTACAGTAAAGGCCCCAAATACACACCTCAATCCATGGTCATGTGACACACTGGGTTCAATCTTCACTCTGGACAGCAGAGCAGAGGAGTCCTTCTTCAGGTGCCCACGAGGCTGTCTGGGGGATATGCACATTTACTACTGGCTGGTCAAAGCCGAGGTCTTCTCTGGCTTCAAAGCAAACTATAGCAGTATGATGGCATCATGTAGAGGGGAGAGGCAATGAGCAACTGGCGGCAAGCTTGGACTGCAGCGCAGAGGAGTCCTTTTTCAGGTGCTTACGAGGCTGTCTGGGGGATGTGCATATTTACTACTGGCTGGCCAAAGCCGAGGTCTTCTCTGGCTTCAAAGCAAACTATAGCAGTATGATGGCATCATGTAGAGGGGAGAGGCAATGAGCAACTGGCGGCAAGCCTGGACTGCAGCGCAGGAGTGCTGACCACGGTTTCAAGACACACCGGCAAGGGACACGGACGAAGGACTCGGGTGAGAGAAAAATGGCTTTAACGGGTAATTGAAAATAGGTGTGAATTGGTAGGAGCAGGATGGATGGGGCTTTAAATTCCTATGACTGTCTCTAAAGCTGGAGCCAAGGCAAAAACTGCACCCCAGTCTGAGCTAAGCACATCACTACCAACATATAGTGCGGCAGGAGAGGGAGGATGCACAATGATAAGATAAGAACCCACTGTATTCCAAGATCTTATTTATTTTGGTGCATTCAAATTTATTAAAACCAAGGTTACCTTGATGAACTTTCTGGATCGACGGTGCAGAACCTTTTCTTTTCTTCAGTTTTAGAAAAAGCTTTATTTGGGGGGCATTTAAAAACTGGACCTAGATCTGAAGCAAGGGGTACTCAAAATACAAGCAGCAGCGGTAGCCTCTGACAAACAGGCCTGTCTATATAATGATGTGCCATCAAAAATACCCTCTGGCATGTAAAATCAAAGTACAGAATATGTGTAATAGAACAGTCAGGGATAACGAATTGTAACTGTTCTAACATCGGCTGTTACGTTTTCCTGCACTTCATAAACCATCTTTAACCTGAGCACTTACCAACCATCTGAATGGAAATCAGGGTCCCCTTGTGCCATGTTTTGGTCCTCTTCTTACCAAGAATCCTCATACCCACAACAAGGTCTCCATCCTTTTTCATGTCATTGGCTGTGGAGGTCTGGTTGGGACCACCCACAGAACTTGAAGGCGAAGAAGGATGAGAGGACAGGCGAGTTTGGGGTCCATCTAAAACAATGACTGTCAATATGTATTCAGAATTTTTGTTTAATATACTTACACACACTGTATAAATACAAAGACACACACACGTATACATATATACATCTTTACCACTAAACATATAATACATGATGCAGGATTACCCAAGCACTATGAGAGAACATAGCAGTAGTTATCTGCTTTCAGACAGGCTGTCCCTCAGTGAAACCTCGGCCAAAGGTGTTTGAGAGTTAGTGGAAGTCAATGATCTGACTCATTGTAATAGTGCGTGTACATTTTAGTGCAAAACTTGATCTGGGAAAGCAAAAAGTTTGTTCACACTTACCAAATCATTTTTTTCTGCATGAAAATACTGCTGTAAATACGATCTATCAACCTAATATGATTACGTATTGAAGTTGTGAACATCACTGTGTGGTCTCAGCACAGTCTGCATTGCCTGTGCAGAGTATATCCTGGAGCAGTCCTATTTTTGTATGCCCAGGTTTAGAGAAAAAAACTCCAGTAAAAAAAAAATTCTAACCCTTGCAGTGGGGCTACCGCATGCACTGCAAGGGTTAAATACTCATTTTGTCTAGGGCCTTGGTTCTCAACTGACGGGTCGTGACCCTGTGTTCAGTGGGTCGCCGCATGCCTTCCACTTTTCTAGGTGAGAGGCTCCTCTGCCTCCCCCTAGTGCAGCACTGTCAGTTCTCACAGCAAGCAGCCATTCAAAATATGCTGCCCGGTGCTGAGTGTCAGCTTGAGGTGGGGTGGGGGTATGGCCGCGAGGAAAGCTCTATCCATACATGCATTCCTTACAGCTCCCTCATGTGTCGTATAGCGGTGCCTGGACCAGAGTGACATCACATTCTGGCTCCTGGCACCTCTACAAGCTGCGCAAGGGAGCTGTACAAGCAATGCACGCATGTATGGAGCTCCGTTACAGCACAGCAGTCCACACTGGACCCCAGGAGGATCCACTCCAGTTCTCGTGCATTCCAATGCAGTGCAACTTGGGTTGCGACTGAATGACCAAGGACAAATGTGGGTCCTGAGGTTACACAGGTTGAGAACCACTGGTCTAGGGGACTCAAAGCTGTATTACTCACCTGATCCTCGGTCAAGCCAGCTCCCTCAGTGCTGCTGGACCGGTCCCCACAGCCTCTTCTCCCCCAGTCTCTGACGGTTAAGGACCGCTGACATCATCATGTCTTATGCAGGACCATTGACCTGCATGAGACGTGAGGACACAGAGGGACATTGCATAGCTGGAGCAGAGGGGTAGAGAGGTGAGCGCTGACAGCCGCAGGACCGAGGATTAGGTGAATAAAACCGCTTTATTTGAGCCCAGTAGACAAAACGAGCTTATAACAGGGCCCTATGTAGAAGAAAGAAAGCAGCTGTGTAGCATACCAGGCTTCTTGTGAATGGCCTCCACCAAGTTCTGTACATCTTTCTGGCACCTCTTCATGGCAGCCATAGCGTCTTTTAACTGAAAGGTTTAGAAAAAGAAATCACTGAAGTCAATCAGACGGGTGTACAGTATTATACAGGCAATGTGTCACTCAGGACTATAGTAGATGTGAAAACAGAGACCCTGCCATGTGATGCAGTATGCAGAGATTTGTAAATTAGCCACTTCTATAACAACTACTGAGATAATGTATCAGCCACATAGGTAGGGTATAGTTTTCAGTTGGGTGACAGAGCCATAGGCCTGCATTGTGAGAAGGAATAGTAAGACACAACCATTGTGCAGCAATGTAACGCAAAATGCACAGCCTAGGTATGTAAAAAGCAAATACAACTGCCCTGATTTACACATATAACTGCAAACTATACACAGAGCCATTAAAAAGACGATATATTCCTAATAAAGCCAAACAGCTAAATAAACACCGGAAAGGAAGCTGGCTTCATGCTCCCCTCGGCACTGCCGGTCAGAGGGAAAACTCCCTGTCACCGGAAGTTCCGGGATCGGAGGTTAGTATCAAAGCATCTGGGCGAGGACGGAATCAACACCCATACTACGGTTGTATCGGTATCGCCGCATCCTTAACGGGTAGCATTGCTCACTTTTTCCCTGAAGGCAAATAGTAACAGCAAGATAAGATGTCACTTACCAGTCGTTTCTCTTTAGGAACTTTACTAACAACTGCTTCACCTGTAAAAAAAAAATTATATATATAATATATATTGTATTTACTATTACGTATTGACAAGCTCTGTGATATCTGGGCTATACAATAAATGAGTTTTAGTGACTCTCTGGTGCCATAGCCTGCATTAAAACACTGTCACTTTGCCAACTCAGAGCCTACACACAGCTCACCAGCCCCTGGCAAATATACTTATCCGGCAATGCTCCCCAGCTGCCTCCCTGCTGCAGCATTCCCGCCTAACTTAGCTCCAATGATGGCTAGTGTCGGAGTTTAGACAGTGCATGACATCATGGCAACCCACAACGGGAAAGTGTTTGGGCCTTAGGATTGGCTCCTCATGATCAAACGCCACCATGGTCACGCACTACACCATACCCCACAACACTGCTCCATTACCTAGTGCGGCGGCAGTGCAGGGAGGTAGCGAGGGCACATGGCAAGTATTAATGTCAGGGGTGGACCATGTGCAGATATTGAATAGGGAAAGTAACGGTGTCCCTTTAAATGGGATGTATAATAGTATTGTATATCATTTTAATCATCATGCCATTATGTATATAAATCTTCTGTTCTATTCTATCTGCAGGCTCCTTTTCACATTTCCCGACCTCAATTTACCCTCTACTGTACAAAGCAGGTTTACAGTGCCCATTAGCTCAAGCTGAAGTTTACATACAAGTGATGACATAGCAGTTAGAAGAGTTACTCAGTAATTAATGAATGGCATCATGCCATTATGTATATAAATCTTATGTTATATTCTATCTGCAGGCTCCTTTTCACATTTCCCTACCATGCGTCTAATAGACCTGTATTAGATGTGATGACATCACGGGTCTTTAGATCGCCACAGCCTGCGGGAGAAGAGCCTGTGGGGAGCAGTCTCGCCAGGTGAGATGGAGGATTGGGTGAGTATTTCTTCTTTATCCCACCCCTGGACAAGACAAACAGTTGACCGTTGCAGTGTGGAGGTAGCCCCACTGCAAGAGTTCATTTTCTAAAATCCTGGTTCTTTAAATAGACCAGTTTACTAAACTACATACACTGAGTGGCCAGATTATTATGACCACTTGAGGTTTGTAGGCAAATTAGCTATAATTAGCTATAATGTCGCGCTGAAGTTGCTAGAGGGCCAGACCATTATAAATAGGGAAGCAGGTTGTTTACCACGACAGTAGAAGTGATTTGTTTCTGAAGATATGGGTAAACAACGCGATTTAACAGCCTTTAAACGCGGGATGATTGTTGGCGCTCGGAGCCATGGAGCGAGTATCAGCAAAACAGCAGAATTCGTTAAATGGTCAAGAGCAGCTGTTGTTAAAGTGTTTAAAGACTGGACTGTCAGCCGAAAATCTGGGTCTGAACGTGCGATTGTGGCCGTCAGCGACTAGTCAATGTTAGGGCAGAACGGAGAGTGGCAAGACTGGTACAAGACAACAGAAGGGCAACAGTGCAGTGTCAGATTCCTCGCATCACCTTTCAGCATCTGGTGGACGAGGCCGCCCAACGAAGTCATCTCGTGGAGTCATCTCGTGGCCCAACGAAGTACTGATGGGGTGGTCATAATAATCTGGCTACTCAGTGTATATGTTTACTGAATACTTGTATGCCATTTGCCATTGCTGTTACATTGTTAATGATGATTAACCCTTACAAAAGCTTGACTTACAGGAAATAAAAAACATGGTCACCAACCTGATCCCACACTCACGACATCATCATCGTCCTCATCCTCATCTGGGATTTCAATGACTTCCACAGGTTTGGAGGATTCATCATCATCTGAGCTGGTCTCCTTGTATGTGATGCCCATCTCACTGTACAACGTTTTCACTAACATTTCGCAGTCCTCGAGAGCCCTGCATAGTACCAACGCCAGTCAAAGCATTACCCAGGATCAGTGAACGCATCCATATGACAGATCTCAAAACACTGATACACATAGGTACAGCTCATCTACTATGACATGAAGTCAACAGCCAAGAACGTCTGCTCAGTGGTACATATTTTGGGAAACCTAAAGCTTTTAATTTCTTGATTATCCAATAAAATTTAACATTTGAAAGAATAGAGCAACAGTGATATAGAGCAGTCAATAAGGAACGGATATAGAACGATATAGAACAGAGACCTTGTGAGTAGCCTTTGATTTTAACCCCAATGTACATATTCATGAAAAGTGATGTGCTGTCTGCTTAAGGCAGGAGACTAGCTTAGCCCAAAGAACCTTAGAGGGACATTATTGACGTTAAAGGTTTAGCCCAACCTTTGCAAATATATAATAACTGCCAGTAATAAAAGAAAAAAAATGAATGCAATACATTTCTGCACTAAAGCCTGCAGAGCATTGCAAGCGCAATCCGAGAGTCATCGGTGTAATGCACAGGCTCCTGCACTGCTCACATACCTGTGTCTACAGCCTCATAGCAGTGCACTTCCTGGTATGTGATGGTGCCTAGGCGCTCCTGTGTCTACAGCCTCATAGCAGTGCACTTCCTGGTATGTGATGGTTCCTAGGCACTCCTGTGTCTACAACCTCCTAGCAGTGCACTTCCTGGTACGTGAGGGTGCCTAGGCACTCCTGTGTCTACAATCCCAACGCTGTATATCTGTAGTGTGAGATCTAAGGCACTGACTGCTAATCTCAGGAGATTTGGAATGAGATTTGATGTCACTACTGTCCTGCTCACTGTTCTCCTTGCTGGAGACTCTGATATGAGGAAGCAAAGCCCTGCTTCTACCAAGATGGAAAGTTCAGAACTAGGCATGCTATGTTATTAATGGGGGAAATATCAGCTGCAGAGAGAACACAAGCAATATTGGTGACTAGTCCTTTTCCCCCTTTGCCCGCCTATTTTCAGAGTTCAGGTTCTCTTTAAACGCCATGAAGAACATACACAGTTTGTACTTCTTCCGTTGCCAGTTGGTGTTTCCCCAAGGTGCTTTAACATGCCCCAACAAACCCCAAAAATAAACTAATGATTTATCCAATCCATTCTTATTATACGTGTCTGTGTGATGGGATCAGCATAGTGTTGGTAATACAGTGTGTGGGTGTGGTGTGTGTGTGGTGTGTGTGGGTGCGTGTGTAAATATACACATATATATACACACACACATACATCCTGTATCTATATCTCGATCTATATAAAGGCTTTCAGACCACTGTTGGTCTTTGGTGGGGCCCTATGGTAAGCAGCTAGTCCCATTTACTGATAATTACTGGAGGAATAATAGCAAGAATGTGATTGGTTGTTGGAAACAGTTTCCCTTTGTGACATCATCACTAATTTAGCCCCTAAACACGGATTGATGGTTTGTTCCATTACCTTGAAGCATTGTCACACAAGCTGTCCACATGGGCCACCTCTTCCTCCTTCTGCTTCACCAGTTGCTCCAGCTCCAACAACTGTGCCTTCCGCTGCTTCACAAACTCATTCTTCTCCACCTCCTTGTCTATGAACTCCTCGAGCTCCTTCATAGAGATTCCCAACTCCTCCACCACCATGTTCTCCAGATCGCTCACATCTGATTCGTCCATGGCTGCAGTAAATCAAAGTGAAACATGAGAGTAAAGTAGTGACTTGGAGGAAACAACAATAAAAGTTTGTCCTTAAAGGACAACTATAGTTAATTGACTTCTAACTGGAGTTCTCCTTTAACCAATGGCATTTCGGGTGTTGTATTAAAATGGCACTATAATTATATTTGCTCGTGTTCGCGCCATTTTTAAAATGCAAACCTACATTCCAATCGGTCTTCTTACATCCCAGTGCTGTTCTCCCGTGTGTTGTTGGTGCCTGCACAGTAGTTCACTTTAGGGTTCTATGGGACTTCCAAGGCAGGAGACTGGCTATGCCCATAAAACAACCTAAGCGTGAATTTATTGGCGTTGAAGTTATAGTCCACCTTTTGCAAAAATGTAATAAATGCGCCCACGTTAGGAAAAGAAGAAAAAAAATGTGCATTTAATACATTTCAGTATTGAAGCCTACAGAGCAACCGCGGTCAGTGCGCCATAAGTGTACAGGTTTCTGCATGGTTTACATTCCAGGTTGAACCTATATACGAACCTGCCAATATGGGGCTGACAGAAGTAATAAATGGACTACAAGTGCCGTGATATTACTGCACTTCTGCCCCATTGAGATCTGCGAGGTGGCTGATGGGACTTGTAGCCTTTTTATTTACAGATCCCAGTGACTACATGACATGGATGCATGGGGACACACATGCAACACGACAAATTTAAAACACAAACAGAAGGCTGCTGGGAGAAGAACCCTTGATTCAGGTATACAGGGGTAGGTGAAGGGGGTGGTTTGAAAAAGGGGGGGTGGTAGGGTTGGGGAATGTGACCATGTCTAATCTCACACCTAAATATGAGCGTAACCCAAAACATGGGCACTAACGTGAACTAAAGCTGGCCAAGTAGGTGTCCTTCGGATTTTGACAAGCCCAAGTCTCTGACCAGGTTATACAATTCTGGCAGTGTCATGAGACGAGGCTTGTATAACATACACGATTCCGAAAATACGGATCATTGTCACTGCCTGTACCTGGTTGGTGCATTGCATGCATCTTCACCTGTTTGGTCAAAGCTCCATTTATCTGGTGGCTTTGGTACTGGCAGACTGTCATTGTGTGGCACTGGTCTCATGGCTGAAGGCAGACTGGGGTACTCGATGGATTTTTAGCAGGGAGACTGGAGACATTACTCAGACAGAAGTAACAGTCCGTTACGTGATCAACGGGACGTCAAACGGCATTGACTTCCAAGATCCTCTGAGCCGAGCTGTCAGATCGATAGCACATCTCATATAACAAATGTGAGGAGCCCATTCCTTATCCTGATCACCAATCTTACAACTAGGGATGCACCGGTACTGATACTAGTATCGGTGCCGATACCGAGTATTTGGGCGAATACTTGCCCAAACGCTCTGATACCGGAACTTCTGGTATCAGGAAGCCGGGCGGCGAGTCGTTACACGCCGCCCGGCTCCCTGATTGGAAGCCGTCTCCATGCCCCCTCAGCACTTGGTCAATCAGGAGGCCAGACTGTGTGTAATGCCTCGCCGCCCAGCTTCCTGATTGGTCGGTAAGCTGGCCGGCAAGTCATTAGCCGCTCCCCAGCTTCCTGATTGGGCCAGAAAGCCGACTCCATGCTTCCTCGTCACCTGATGACGAGGGAGCATGGAGCCGGCTTATCAGGAAGCCTGGCGGCATGTAATGACTCGCCTAGTTTACACGGCCTTATGCTCATGAAAGGCCTCATACACGCGTGCACCGAGAATAATAGAAAGGAGGAATGCAGGCCTTGCTAGTGCTGGCTTATGTACTTAAAGGGGAAGTGATAACAGAACAGGAAGTGTCACTCTCTAGCTGGCAGCGTGTAGACAGGAAGTGACGGCCGGAGCTTTCCTCCCGTCCCATTTCGCAGTAATTTCTGAGATTTCAGAACCCCCAGTGACTTTCTCCCTCCCCAGCTCCCGGAAACCATTTCAGCGTTGCTTCTCAAATGTGCAGTAACCGTGACATCGCGCTTCCACAGACATGAATAGAGGCAGCTGCCAAGCAGCCTTCCGTATGTAACATGCACTCTATTTTATACCGTTCCACGATACAACGCAATGCTAGCACACGGATAGACCCCTGATGTCTCCATAAAGAGGACATGTAAATTGGCTATCCCATAGGGGGCGTCTTAGCCCCCCCCATGTAATAGCAATAAAGTTGTGTGTAAAAAAAATAAATAAAAATAAAGCATAACATTTTTCTTTAAGTCCCCACCCCCGACATACACACTCATCTGCTTGAGGCTCGCTCAAATCGTCGTTTTCGCACGCAGGCGCACCCGACGCATATCTGTGTGTATATGTGGGGGGCGGGAACTTTAAAAATGTTTTTTTCTTTTTACATTTTTTCTTATGCTTTATTTTTTTTATGATTCTTTAAATTTTTGTATTTAAAATTTAATTTTTTTTACACACAACTTTATTGCTACTACTTGGGGGGCTACGAAGCCCCCTATGGGATAGCCAATTTACATGACAGGTCCTCTTTATGGAGCCATCAGGGGTCTTGAAGACCCCTAATGTCACCTAGGGACCCCCAGAGAAGCTGATGAAGCAGAAATCGGCTTCATCAGCTTCTCTAGCTGGAGAGTGACACTGAATGCAGGAAATGATGTAATATACATCACTTCCTGCATTCGGGGAAACCACTGTTGGTCTTTGGTGGGGCCCTATGGTAAGCAGCTAGTCCCATTTACTGATAATTACTGGAGGAATAATAGCAAGAATGTGATTGGTTGTTGGAAACAGTTTCCCTTTGTGACATCATCACTAATTTAGCCCCTAAACACGGATTGATGGTTTGTTCCATTACCTTGAAGCATTGTCACACAAGCTGTCCACATGGGCCACCTCTTCCTCCTTCTGCTTCACCAGTTGCTCCAGCTCCAACAACTGTGCCTTCCGCTGCTTCACAAACTCATTCTTCTCCACCTCCTTGTCTATGAACTCCTCGAGCTCCTTCATAGAGATTCCCAACTCCTCCACCACCATGTTCTCCAGATCGCTCACATCTGATTCGTCCATGGCTGCAGTAAATCAAAGTGAAACATGAGAGTAAAGTAGTGACTTGGAGGAAACAACAATAAAAGTTTGTCCTTAAAGGACAACTATAGTTAATTGACTTCTAACTGGAGTTCTCCTTTAACCAATGGCATTTCGGGTGTTGTATTAAAATGGCACTATAATTATATTTGCTCGTGTTCGCGCCATTTTTAAAATGCAAACCTACATTCCAATCGGTCTTCTTACATCCCAGTGCTGTTCTCCCGTGTGTTGTTGGTGCCTGCACAGTAGTTCACTTTAGGGTTCTATGGGACTTCCAAGGCAGGAGACTGGCTATGCCCATAAAACAACCTAAGCGTGAATTTATTGGCGTTGAAGTTATAGTCCACCTTTTGCAAAAATGTAATAAATGCGCCCACGTTAGGAAAAGAAGAAAAAAAATGTGCATTTAATACATTTCAGTATTGAAGCCTACAGAGCAACCGCGGTCAGTGCGCCATAAGTGTACAGGTTTCTGCATGGTTTACATTCCAGGTTGAACCTATATACGAACCTGCCAATATGGGGCTGACAGAAGTAATAAATGGACTACAAGTGCCGTGATATTACTGCACTTCTGCCCCATTGAGATCTGCGAGGTGGCTGATGGGACTTGTAGCCTTTTTATTTACAGATCCCAGTGACTACATGACATGGATGCATGGGGACACACATGCAACACGACAAATTTAAAACACAAACAGAAGGCTGCTGGGAGAAGAACCCTTGATTCAGGTATACAGGGGTAGGTGAAGGGGGTGGTTTGAAAAAGGGGGGGTGGTAGGGTTGGGGAATGTGACCATGTCTAATCTCACACCTAAATATGAGCGTAACCCAAAACATGGGCACTAACGTGAACTAAAGCTGGCCAAGTAGGTGTCCTTCGGATTTTGACAAGCCCAAGTCTCTGACCAGGTTATACAATTCTGGCAGTGTCATGAGACGAGGCTTGTATAACATACACGATTCCGAAAATACGGATCATTGTCACTGCCTGTACCTGGTTGGTGCATTGCATGCATCTTCACCTGTTTGGTCAAAGCTCCATTTATCTGGTGGCTTTGGTACTGGCAGACTGTCATTGTGTGGCACTGGTCTCATGGCTGAAGGCAGACTGGGGTACTCGATGGATTTTTAGCAGGGAGACTGGAGACATTACTCAGACAGAAGTAACAGTCCGTTACGTGATCAACGGGACGTCAAACGGCATTGACTTCCAAGATCCTCTGAGCCGAGCTGTCAGATCGATAGCACATCTCATATAACAAATGTGAGGAGCCCATTCCTTATCCTGATCACCAATCTTACAACTAGGGATGCACCGGTACTGATACTAGTATCGGTGCCGATACCGAGTATTTGGGCGAATACTTGCCCAAACGCTCTGATACCGGAACTTCTGGTATCAGGAAGCCGGGCGGCGAGTCGTTACACGCCGCCCGGCTCCCTGATTGGAAGCCGTCTCCATGCCCCCTCAGCACTTGGTCAATCAGGAGGCCAGACTGTGTGTAATGCCTCGCCGCCCAGCTTCCTGATTGGTCGGTAAGCTGGCCGGCAAGTCATTAGCCGCTCCCCAGCTTCCTGATTGGGCCAGAAAGCCGACTCCATGCTTCCTCGTCACCTGATGACGAGGGAGCATGGAGCCGGCTTATCAGGAAGCCTGGCGGCATGTAATGACTCGCCTAGTTTACACGGCCTTATGCTCATGAAAGGCCTCATACACGCGTGCACCGAGAATAATAGAAAGGAGGAATGCAGGCCTTGCTAGTGCTGGCTTATGTACTTAAAGGGGAAGTGATAACAGAACAGGAAGTGTCACTCTCTAGCTGGCAGCGTGTAGACAGGAAGTGACGGCCGGAGCTTTCCTCCCGTCCCATTTCGCAGTAATTTCTGAGATTTCAGAACCCCCAGTGACTTTCTCCCTCCCCAGCTCCCGGAAACCATTTCAGCGTTGCTTCTCAAATGTGCAGTAACCGTGACATCGCGCTTCCACAGACATGAATAGAGGCAGCTGCCAAGCAGCCTTCCGTATGTAACATGCACTCTATTTTATACCGTTCCACGATACAACGCAATGCTAGCACACGGATAGACCCCTGATGTCTCCATAAAGAGGACATGTAAATTGGCTATCCCATAGGGGGCGTCTTAGCCCCCCCCATGTAATAGCAATAAAGTTGTGTGTAAAAAAAATAAATAAAAATAAAGCATAACATTTTTCTTTAAGTCCCCACCCCCGACATACACACTCATCTGCTTGAGGCTCGCTCAAATCGTCGTTTTCGCACGCAGGCGCACCCGACGCATATCTGTATATGCGTCGGGTGCGCCTACGTTCGAAAACGACGATTGCTCCTATTGTGGTGCACATGTTACATATCGCCGCAAACGTCGGAGTGAGAGCAATAATTTTAGAGACATTAATGACTGATAACACTAAACTGATGAGCAGTAAAATCGTCGCCTATGGGCGTTTTTTGCTATTTTGCGGGCGCAACTAAATTTTAAGGCTTGACATGTTTGGTGTCTATTTACCCGACTTTTATGTTTTACTAAAAATATGGGTAAGAATAAATGTTTTATAACATAACGTAGGGAAACTTTGTGTTTTTTTTTACATTTATGGTACTTTTTTCATTATATAGTAAAAACAAATAACACCCCCCCTAGTGGTGAGTATATACCTCCAAAAGAAAGCGCTATCTGTCCCCAAAAAATGTTAACATACATTGCAGGGCTATAGTCCGGTCATGCTGACTGGTGACATTTTTGACTGGCTTGTGAGACACCATCAAATTATTCAAGCCCTGGAGCTGACGCTTTGAATGCTTCAAGAAAGAATGCTGCTCGAGGCTCGCTAAAAGCTTCACTCCACGCTAAGGCCTAGTTCACATGCGTTAAAGTCAGGTGGTAGGGAAGGGTTTTAAAGGCCTCCTTACCGCCTATAAATGCACCTATGGAATAGTTCAGTGGGCAGTACACAGTACAGTACACACATGTGCTCTATCCTTGGAGATGGTCCGATGTTTATATGACCATCTCCAAGTCACCCCAGGACACCTAAGAGTGAGTCACTTTGTATTCTGGTCATCCTAAGTGTGAAACAGTATTGTTACATTTTATGATTGTTTAATCGTGCCCAAACAGTAGTAGCACACACACACATATACACTCATCTCTCCCCTCTCTCCCACCTACGCTCTGGCTGTGAAATGTCCCTCGTCATCCCCATGTTCTTAGACCGCCAGAGCCCGGTGGAGAAGAGGCTGAAGGAACCGGCCAACTAGCTAGGTGAGACCGAGGATCAGGTGAGTTTATCTTTTTTATTTCACACCCCTAGACTGAAGCCAGCACTTAGCTAGGGGGTAGCCCACTGCAAGGTCTTATTTGTTTTATGCCCGGAGTTCTTCTTTAAAAGCCGCCAGAAAGCGAGCAAAGCAAATGCTCTCTAAAATCTTGACGCTCGCAATTATACAATGTGAAGCCTGGGTAAAGCAAGCCTTACTCAGGGTAGGCAAACTTCAACCCTCCAGCTGTTGTGGGACTATAAGTCCCACCATGCACTGCAAGACTCCTGAAAATGCATCCTGAGGTAATCCTCAATGTAAAATTGCAAAGACTTTAAATATATCATCATCTACAATACATAATATCATCAAAAGATTCTGAGAATCTGGAGAAATCTCCGTGCACAAGGGAGAAGGTCAAGACGCAACATTGGATGCCCGGGATCTTCAGGCCTCAGATGGCACTGCATTAAAAACAGGCATGACTCTGTGATGACATCACTGCATGGGCTCGGGAATACTTCCAATAATCACCGTCTGTCAACAAAGTTCACTGTGCCATCCAGAAATGCAAGTTAAAGCTCTATCATGCAAAGAAGAAGCCATATCTCAACATGATCCAGAAACTCTGCCGTCTTCTCTGGGCCAAAGCTTATTTAAAATGGCCTGTCGCCAAGTGGAAAACAGTTCTGTGGTCAGATGAATCGAAAGTTGACATTCTTTTTGGCAGCCATGGGCTCTGCATCCTCCGGACTAAAGAGGAGAGGGACCTTCCGGCTTGTTATCAGTGATCAGTTCAAAAGCCTGCATCTCTGATGGTATGGGGGTGCATTTCTGTATATGGAATGGACAGCTTGTACATCTGGAAAGGCACCATCAATGCTGAAAGATATATCAAGGTTTTAGAGCAGCATATGCCCCCATCCAGATGATGTCTTTTTCAGGGAAGGCCTTACATATTTCAGCAGGACAATGCTAAACCGCATACTACACCTATGACAACAGCATGGCTTCGTAGTAGAAGAGTCTGGGTGCTTAACTGGGTGCCTTTTTTTAAATCTTAAAATGGTTCATTTTCTCAGTTTAAACATTTGATATGTTTTCTATTTTCTATTGTGAATAAAATACAGGTTTATAAGATCTGCAGGTCATTGTATTCTGTTTTTATGTAGATTTAGCACAGCGTCCTAACATTTTGGGAAGTGGGATTGCACCAGATCCATGGAGAAGTAGCGTCATCACTTTAGGACGAGGCTACAGAACACCCCCAGCTTCTCCATAACATGTGAGATAGCTGGAAACAAGGTAACAGAACAAATCGTCACAGCCAGAGAGCACAGGACGTCATCAGCTGACAAGATTCTTTTTTGCACTTGTTGAACAAATATAATAAAGGTTGCTAGGCAGCCTGGCTTCCTGACCAATCGTCACAGCTTCCCGATTTGCCAGGAAGCCAGGCTGCCTAGCACTAGAAAGGTGCATTGCATAAAAATGCAGCGTGACTGCAATGCAAAAATATGAGGTAAAGTAGTATTAAAGGCTGATGGTTTTCTACCTTAATGGATTCTCTGCATTAGGGTTAAAAAGGATCAGTACCTTTTTGTGTCGTCGTCGTCCCCCTGTCAACGCCGCCGGTCCCCGAAGTGATCCTCCCGTTCCCAGGTTGCAGGGGGAGGATACTGAGGGCAGAAAAGCCATAGGCTCCTTCTGCCGTCAATCACACTTTAGGGAAGAGAGGGGCGTGGCCCGCGGAATGACAGTGAAATGAGGAGTAGAACAGAATTTATAAGAAGGTGGCTCACCTAGATGGAAAAATAAAACCTGATGCTTTAATATCATTTTAGGTCTCGTTCACACCTAGGCGTATTGCATATGCGCGACCGCCGCGCGTTTTTTTACCGCGATTCGCGGTAAAAAAGTCGCGCGACCGTCGCGCGTTTCCGAAGGCTACTTGGCTGTATCCCAATGGAAACGCGCAACAAAACGGCCCAAAGTAGTACCTGTACCTGTTCAGGCGTGGGCCGTTTTGTAGCGCGTTAGGGACGGGCGGAAATACGCCAAGGTGGGAACGAGACCATTGAATACAATGGGATTTATATTTTTGAGCGTTTTGTAGAGTGTTCGTCGAGCGTAGAACGCGCTACAAAACGTTCAGGTGTGAACGAGGGCTAAAAGGCCAAGTGTTCCTTCTGAACCATGTTTCACATTGGACCCGTATTTAGGATATAACATGAAACATAGTCACATCGCAACCCCACCACCAGTACCTGAATCATAGGGTTCTTCTCCCCACAGGCTGGGGTGGAATTTTTTTAATTAGTTGCGGCTGTGCATGGCTCCGCCCACACAGCCGCATCATCCTTTCACGGGATCTGTAAATGGACAAACTACAAGTCCCATCAGCCACCACAGCAGAAGGGCTTGTGGTTCTCAATGTAATACAAGTGCGGTGATGTCATTTTTTTTATTGGGAAGGTTTGGATGAAAGATACACTTTTATTGCACGTGTTCATAGACGTCAGATTGACAGATCAGTCATGCTCAGTCATTCTGGAGGGATCAAACAATTGTAAAAGTTAGAGAACGTTGTCTGATTCCTACTGAGGAGCCCGCACACACTGGGAGGCAGTCAGATCATACATGCATGACGAGCATCGTGGGGGTACCGGCAATCTCTGCACACCTCATGGTATACCAGTGATCTTGTTGCCCATCATGGGGGTACCGGCCATTTCAGCACCCACCTTGGGGGTACCGGCCATCTCCGTGCCCATCATGGAGGTACCAGTGATCGCAGCACTCCTCGCGGGGTATCTGTGATCTTGGTGTTCATCATGGGGTACCAACAATCTCTGTGTTCATCATAGGGGGGTATCGGCAATCTTGGCGCTCATTATAGGGGTACCAGTGATTGCAGCACTCATCAGGGGGTATCTGTGATCTCGGCGTAAATCATAGGGGATACCGGAAATCTCAGTACTCATCATGGGGGGCACCAACAATCTCTGCACTCATCATAGGGGGTACCACCCATCTCACTGCTCATCATAGGGGGTACCACCCATCTCACTGCTCATCATAGGGGGTACCACCCATCTCACCGCTCATCATGGGACTACAGGTGATCTTGGCGCTCATCATGGGAGTACCAGCAATCTCTGTGATCTGAGTGTGTACATGGTAAACAAGGGCTATAACAAAGTATTGTATATTCCTGCAGAGCTGGAAGCACATATTACATACATACAGTACATGGTAGATCCATCTACACACAGGACCACACACTGTGCCTGCATGAATGAGCTCACCGCACCCTACACATCATTGGCTGGGTTCCCATCACCCATACACACTGCACCGTATACACACAGGAGCTGAGGAGTCAATGGGCACCCACGTGTGTCTGTTTATTGTGCGCCTCTACTACATTCTATACGGTATAGAAGTCACTGTACCGGCAGATGCTGGCCGACTCCCTGTGCTCTCTTCCTGCGCCGTCTTCCCGGTACCCCTTTTCTGTCTCCGGTTGCCGGAGTGACGGGCCGGAAGTCTAGCTCCGGAACCGAACAGCCTCGCTATCTGCCCCCGGAACTGACGTCACCACAGAGACAGGCCAGAGAAAAAAGAGGCGCGGCCTGCAATAGCGGGAGGTTGAGAGTAGGAGAGGAAAAAACAATAATTCCGCGCTTTTGTCCTGTAGGCGGAGATAGATGGGCGTGGTGATGATGGTGGTAGCATGCGATAGGCTGATGGATCGGGCAAATATTGGCCGTACTTGCAAAGTAGAGTCACATTGACATATATGAGGCACGTCTACCTTCGTCTTCTAGCGGGGGGGGGAGATGAGCCCCACATAATTCTATGGGGATCTACTGCGACCCATACACTTCTATGGGGATCTACTGCGACCCATATACTTCTATGGGGATCTACTGCGACCCATACACTTCTATGGGGATCTACTGCGACCCATACACTTCTGTGGGGATCTACTATGCACCATAGACTTCTATGGGCATCTACTATGCTCCATAGACTTTTATGGGGATCTACTATACGCCATAGAGTTCTATGGGTATCTACTGCTCCCCATAGAATTCTATGGGTATCTACTGCTCCCCATAGAACTCTATGGGGATCTACTGCACCCCATAGACTTCTATGAGGATCTGCTAAACCCCATAGACCCGTATGGGGATCTACTGCATCCCATTTACCTCTATGGTGTTCTGCTGCGCCCTTTAGAGTTCTGTGGGGATCTAATGTGTCCCATAGGTAAAGAGGTGAGTAAAAAACAATAAATGGGTAATGAAATAAGGGAAAAAGAAGGCAGGGAGCCTGGGCTTTATTGATTCAACAATTGTTAGGAAGATGACAATAGATATCAATGGATTTCAGGGGCTCAACAATCACCCTTCATCAGGGCTTAAAGGAGAACTATGGGGTTAAGGCTTTTCCCCATAGTTCTCCTTAGGGTAACGGGAGGACACAAACTAGCGTCCTCCTGTAAACCTGCTTCCCATTGACAACTTTCTGGCAGAGGGCAGCAGATTTTCCCCAAGAATTTGACAGTATTTTGCCCCATCCATTTTTCCTTCTATCCTGACAAGTGCTCCAGTCCCTGCTGCGGAAAAACACCCCCCATAACAGGATATTGCCACCTCCATGCTTTACTGTAGGAATGGTGTTATTTGGATGGTGAGCTGTTTTGGATTCCCGCCAGACATATTATTTGGTGTTGAGGCCAAACAATTCAATTTTAGTCCCAGGGGTGTGGACATTTACAAAACAACTACTTGTCCAAGGACTAAAGCGGGGGCCCGATCTACCTGTCCCTCATGACAATCTACTTGTCCTGAGACAAAAAAAATCATTTTAACCAAAACCGTATTTAGCAGTGCTTAGAAGAGCTTCTCATTGGTCAGCGCCGTCAGGTGACAGCGATGACCTACAAATGTGCTTGGAATTTACAAGCGAAATTCCATGGCACAGGTACAGATAGTACAATCGTACTGGCGGACGGGAAGGACCATTCGCTGAAAGGTAAACATTGCAGGAAGGAGAGGGGGCCAGATTTGTGCAGGTGATTAAATTTTCCCAATTTACTTGGGAAAGTGAATTCACCCTTAAGGGCCGGGGCAGACTTCGGCGATCGTGTGCGTTTGCCGTGCGGCCCCATTGATTTCAATGGGTTACATCCGCGTGGCAATCACTGAAAAAAGGTACATTTACCTTTTACCACGACACGCACCGTGCTGTGTTTTCCGCGTGATTGCACGGGCGGTATTGCGGCAGTAACCCGTGCCTGGCGTGACCGGGGTGCCATTAGAAAATAATGGCACTGCCAGTGCTATTCCGTAACCGCCCACCTATCTGCGCAGTTTCCTGCACGATTGTCGCACGGTCATGGATCGCCCACCCAGCTCACGCACACAATGCCCTATGCATGCGTTTATTCATATGCAGATGGTGGGGGCAGCGGGGTTGGTTTTAATTTTATTTGTAATTCTTAATTTTCATTTATTGTATTATTTTTTATCTATTTCCATTTTTAATTATTTGTTGTTTTTTACGTTTTACATTTTTATGTATTTATATTTTTTTAATTTTATTATTTTTTGACAATTGTTTTTTCTCTTAACTTTTTTGCTTTCACAGAGGAGATAACAAGCCCCTGTGTGATAGCATTTGGAGGTGACAGGTTCTCTTTATTGACCCTGTCACCTCCAATACAGGGGTTCTAGCACAGCACTGTGCTCGCTCTCCTGTGACAGGATGGCTACGAGTGCAGCTTTCCTGTCATTGCTCACAAGGAGCAGAGCAGAGAACAGACGTTCTCTGCTCTGCTCCCCGCTCTCCATCCTGATCTAATTTGCCGTGGTCCCCGGTCCCTGAAAGGAGAGCGTAGACCCCCAAGACCACGGCGGTGAGGGAAACAGCGGGCAGGGAAAGAGACAGTGACTGGGGACACGGGCAGAGGGCAGTGGCCGATGTTCTATCAAAGTTTGTGACTACGTTGGAATGTGTGACCGGTGATGCGGTCACACATTCCAACATAATCCCGCCCACTTTGACAGCATTGAAACGTGTGATTGACTTACTACGCATGTGCGGGAACAGCTGATCGGTCATAAAATTTCACGACCGAGTTGCCGATACTGTGCTTGCGCGGCTTTTGCGGCCTTGTTTGAAAACAACAATTCAAACAAAGTATATATTCAATGGATAATAAAGATAATACAATTATTGGGGGTATTTCAATAATATTTATTTAATTTATATTTAACTTTACTTCATAATATTATTAAAATACCCACGATAATTGTATTATTATCTTTATTATTCATTGAATATATACTTTGTTTGAATTGTTATTTTTAAACATAACAACCACAGTAGTGGCAACCCAGCCGTGAAAGCCAATCACACGCTGTCAAAGTGAGCGGTATTACGTTGGAATCTGTGACCACGTCACCGGTCATACATTCCAACGTAGTTGCAAACTTTTTATAGAACACCGAACAGAGAGAGACGGGAGGGGGAGAGAAGTAAGTGAGGGTAAGGGCAGTGAGCATTGGGTTGCTTACAAGTGATCTTGGACGGCTGTACAGCTGCTGAAGATCACTTGTACAAAACGGCTCCCACACTACATTTAGCCGTGCTGCTTGCCCGAAGCATGTCACATGCACACAATGACCACGCTTTGTCATAAATTCCTGCAGCTGCTTCAGAGTTTCTGTAGGCCTCTTGTTAGCCTCTCTGACCAGTTTCCTCCTGGCTCTTTCATCCAGTTTGGAGCGATGTCCTGATCCAGGGAGGGTCTGCATCGTACCAAATACCTTCCACTTCACAATAATAGACTTCACTGTGCTTCTAGGCATTGCTAAATTCTTTGAATTTGTTTTGTATCCATCTCCTGACTTGTGCCTGTCCACAACTTTTTCCCGGAGAACTTTTGACAGTGCCTCGCCACCCATAGTAGATTGTTTGCTTCAGTTGCACTACCAGGGATTGAAATGCTCCAGGAAAGCTCTTTTCATGCCAAGCTAATCAAAACGACCCCCACAGAAAATCACAGTTGAAAGTCAAATGGCTTTGTGTGCCATTGAGAAAGTGATGAGCTACACCTGATTGAGTTTATAAGTCATTTTTAGGAGGGGCTGATCCCTTTTCCAACTCAGTGATTCTGTTTTTTGAATTTTTTTCTGGCATGTTTTATCTTTCACTTGGATGTTATAAGTTGCACTGCACTAAATACAGCTGGATGAAACTAAAACTGTGTCTGTCTTCATTTCAGGCTGCAAAGCAACAAAATGTGATTAATTTTAAGGGGGTGATTCTTTTCTATACCCACTATATATCACCACTAGATGGCGCTGAGGAACATATGATTCCTCTGCTCCTCAGTGCCATCTAGTGGCCAGTTACAGTTATAAATCAGCCCCTTAAAGGGTAGTTTGCCGCTCCCCAGCGCTCGACTACACACGTACTTCCGGTGTCGGCTATTACTGCCAGAGCGTACAGCGGGTGAACGTTTTCAATGGTTCTGTCGAACAAAAACACAGACCCCGACAAGAAAATATCTTTCAGAATGCATTTAATATTTTTTTATTTTTTTTACTTAGTATAAATATTTTCTACATAATATAGATACAGGTTGTTCAAAGGAAATGAAAAAGTAAGACATAAATCCTGTAGAAATTGATTTGTGCTTATCCATTCACATTGATGCAGTCTCATTTCGGACAGTATGCATAGTTATCTGAATGCTTAGAGGGGCACTCCACTTGGTTAAAAAAGCAGACCCGTGCTATTGATCTTCCGCGTGGCAACAGGATTCTCGCACATGGTATGTGTCGCCTACCAGGGGCTACCAACTTGGCAGTGTTTGTATCAAGTGGTATCTCTGCTCTATCCTACGGACAGCAATGGGCACCTCAATAGCCAATCACCAAGCAGCAGTACTGTCTTCATTCCGCTGGATGGTTGGAGAGGTGGAAAGGGAAGGTGGACCGCATGGGCTGCTATGGAGGTATTTCCGCCACTAAGCGCTATCCTGATTAACTCAAAGCTGGCTTCAGCGAGCTAAGCTGGCCCTTGCTGCGCCCCCTCTCAGCTGCGCCTGAGGCGAGTGCCTCACTCGCCCCGTGGTAGCTACAGCACTGTCACACTGTATTCAGCCGGTGTCTCCCAAAGGGGCATACATTAAAGAGAAGAGGGCATAAGAACGAGTCAATGACATACAAATGATCCACTATGAATACTTTGCAGCCATGATGGGGCAGAGGGGGAGGAGTCTGGACACCACTGCTGCATCATACGCAGCGTCCTCGGGGTTGCAAGACTCCGCTTTGTAATTTCCTCACAGGTGGCATTTACAACTCAGACAATTCAAGCTGGAAGATGCATCCTGGATTATCTGAGTTACGGTGAGTGAAGAAGTGTATGATCCTAATAAGTTACCGTGTGTTGTGTTATTTAATACACATGCGATGGTTGGTAGGAAATAATGGCACCGCAGGGCACCAAACAATGCAATGCATGATGTTGTGTGATGAGGAAACGTGCAGGGATGCACGTGTTCTAGCAACGCATGATGTGAATGGGGGGTAAATCAAGTGGCTTGTTATTAT